TGAAGGAAATTGATTGCTACGTAGGTATACAAATAAGTAAATTTTATTTGGTTTGTTTAGGAATAGTACCAACTACATCAAACTAGGTACTTGCCTACCCCCATGGGAGGCAGGTGTTAGGTTATGCATGTATATAACTAACGGGAAATATAACTAATATTTTTCCGGAGTGACTCCATCGCCCACAGAAATATTAAAAACTTATTATATCTATGCCATCCCTCTTTTCTCAGTCCCCAAAAGGTGTTATTGCAATGTAATTCCTCTGATATAGATTCATAAGTAACACGGATTGCTTACCACCAGGTAATTCTATATACCATAAAAAATATCTTTAAATGTCTTCACAAAGCTACTGATTGCATAAAGAAATTGAATGGAGATACAGGCTATAAGACATTTAAATAGCTCAGCCATTAAGGTTCTAGCAAACCGTCTAGACGTGCACACGCTCGCTCAGTTCTCATGCAAATGGGCATAAAATTTACTGGCATAATTTGTGAACATCCACTGGCCTTATCGTGGCCCGACTTCAATTAAAACTGATTATGACAGAGGTAACGGACTCATATAATGTTTTACTGTGTCTAGTAAAAAATACTTCATTTCGAATATACTATTTTTAATTTACAACTTAGTATTTTCAGTATATTTGGGTCTATAGAAGTTTCACATTTTCATTTATTCAAAAAACTTAATCAGAAGATAATAATAATCAAGTAAATGGAAGAACAGAACCAATGTCGTGACATCATCTGCACTGTAAAATTTTTGAGACCTTAATTATTTATGTCATTTTATTCAAAATTCTAATTCTAATCGTAATCGGTGTCGCGGAGAGCCTAACGGGTTACCGAGGCTCTGGCTGGAAGCACAGGAGAAGGAACGGGGTGGTTTTTAGTCAGTAAGAGCCTGACCCTCCCTCCAGCCTCACCCAGGCGGGAGCAGCCATTCGATGATTTTCCCCCTTAAAAAAATCGTAATCGGTATTTTGTAATTACGACTACCTACACTACACTAATTAACTATTGTTTAAATATCCCATACAAAGTAATACATATAACATTGTCGTTTGTAACATATAAATTATAACAATGTAGACTTCATTAAATCATCATAGATTTGCTGTTCTGATTATTATTTTAGTTAATGAGATTGCAATTGTGAATTATTTCTCTGAAATGTTGTGCAAGTTATTTTACGTGTTAAACTAGTTATTGTACTTATTCATTGAATTTAGAAAATGTTAATAGAATTTGTATAATGAATTGGAAGTTTCAATGAATTAACATAGGTATTTATTAAAATATCATAGATCATATTATTATTAAAAGTAGCCTTATCTAAATTATCTACGACTTAGAGACATAATCGATTACATCTCTCTTTAAAATCATTTTATTTTATCGATATAAAACAATGTAGGTTATATTAGGTATCGAGCTCCGATAAATCTGAGTTGTTGGTGACAACTGAAACTCTTACTATTAATATTCTAAAATTATGTTGATTTGTCTTTCACATGGCGACAGAGTGCTTTTATTGTCTGATTTCTGTGTCTGAAGATAGGTAAATTCAGCTGAATGCACCACTAATACACTGTTTTGTTCACCCCTCATATACCTAAATATATATATATAATTAAATTCGTAATAACATCACGTAACGTATAGCACTTCCATGTAGAAAAAAGTCCAATCACGAAGTCTTTAATGTCATGAAGTTATTTTTTGTGCAGTAAATTACCTCAGGCTACTTCTTAGCTGAAACATTAATAGTGTATTATAAGAATTATAAAGCCAGTTTAATAACGGTGCTAGGAGCGACGTCATACTGCTTCAACAGCAATTCATCAAACGTGCAGGGTACTATCGATCACGCCAACGCTGTTAATGCACCGACAAATTAATGATTCCTTCAAAACACTGCCATCGTATTATTAACCTAATGAAATTTTCACTATCGCACTAAATTATCACGTAGGTAACGTACCAGCCACGCAATTGTGTTGCAAATTACTTTTCGAGACGTAAACTTTAATGTAACCGAAAAATTGACTCGTTAAACTTGCAATTAACCGATTTTGTGAACAATAAAAGTTCAGAATGTTAATTATGCCTGTCTGAGGTCTTGTTTTAATTAGTTTAATGCTGTCTTTGAAACCAATTTTCAAGAACATTTTCTCAATAATTAGAATACCATGTTTGATAATTACTCAGTTAATTCAAACTAAAATTAATTATTTTAATTAGATAGCTGCTACCAATGTAGGTACTCAATCATATCGTATGAATTTAATTAAATATTTTAAAATGTGTACCTTATCCGTTATAAATTTTGCTATCGTAAAATATTTACGTTGTATAGTATTAATTTAAAATGATTTATTCGTAAGCGTTCGCAATTATATTTAAGTAAATATTTCTTATCTCTCGACTTCGTCTAGAGATTTTCACTTTAACAAATATTAATTTGTCATGCGATAAGGCGAATAATAAAATAGAAAAACATTCACTCGCCCCTAACTCTAAATAATAGTCTTACTAACGATTTCTTTGTCCAACACTCGAAGTATAATTTGATTTATTTTTTCATTTCCGACAGTTCATTTATTTGATGGAAACAAAATTATGTTGTAGAGCAATTGTACCAAGTTAATGGGAGGCAGCATGTGCCTTCGGTGGTACGCCCCCTCGATTCATTCCCTCGTATCTGATTCAAGCACGCGCTTTTTGAATCAACCGCTGCCTCGCTGCACTCGCCTACTATAAAATCACGAAAACATTACACATGAAATATGATTACGTTTTTATAGTAAACTTGTAATTTAACGTTTAAAATAATGCTGAGTGACATGATTACGAGCAGACACGAGCAATTTTGTACGATTTAAAAAAATACATTAATTTATTCAATAACTCTTTCTGACGTTTTTATAATAACTATCATAAGACATACTAAATTAACTAAAAATTTTTAGTTAGCCAATTTCTTAATTTATTTACTAGGAGTAAAAATAGATAAATAGGTTTTATTTTCATTCAAAACCTAAACTCTAACTTAATCCTTTTATTATTATAATTCCCAAAAGATTTGTCTATCTACAGTTTGTTAGGCACATACCTAACTAGGAGTATAGGAATGGAATCTATATTATGATAGATATAAACATTGTTTGTGCTACATATAAAAGTAACTACACTTTTTTTTGGACCGTCCGACCATCCCGTTCCTACTTCTGCACTGCGAGCCGGAGTCCCGGCAACCCGTTAAGCCTTCCGCGGCTTCGTATCGGCATCAGCCCTGTTAGGCCCATCTGTAGTGGTCTGATGGCTCGTTGAGGCGCGCACAGAACGCGACGCGCCGTACGCTCGGGCCTGGTTCTGGTCAGGCGACGAGTCACCTGTGCTCGACGTCCGCAAGCCCGTGTAAAAGTAACTACACTAGACATACAATTTAACGATTAATTATCAGCACTCAACAATTTAAAAATTAAAGATAAAATAATAGTTATACTAGAGTAATAATAGTTATAGAGAGAGAGATCTTTATTAACCACATATCGTTTCAAAATTATTCATGGTAGGCCGACGCCATTCATGCATTCAGTGCGGCTGTATGGCTAGGTAGTCACTATTTCCATTAGCTGCGTTCGCGTTGAAGCGATTCTGATTGCCGAAATGATTAGTGAGTCACGGATATGCACGTAGATTGTTTTCAAATGAATTGTTGGGGAACCAAGGTAAATAATCGAAGCTAGGTTGTATGTATTGGATAATTGAAATTCTGGTTTCGTTGTTTTAGTTATTGTACTTAAATATAGTTGATGCATGGTATAAATACATACTCAGAGAAGAGTGAAAATGTTGATGCAAGAATTTAAGAGTACTTGAGAAAATTATGAAAAATTACTTCTTATCTTTATCAAATCCTATTGTCACATCTTTTTCTTCGTAATCAATATTTTTCTTTTGTTATTCATCACAAATCTTGCATTACATCTACATCTTGGAACAGTTAAAACTTCTTATAAAAATAAAACAATTCTCCATGCTCTCCAAACTTTCACAGTTCCTTGAACATCAATCAAAGACATGCGAACTGTATAATAGGTGTATAGACGTGGCACTTCCCACAGAAAACACTAACAAGTCGACACGAACCTTGCATTCACGTCAAAGTGAAGGGAGTCGAGGAGTCAGGTATTTATCCTTTACCAGGACTCAACTCACTGCCAACGTTAAATGATTTCGTTTCGCGGCTATTCTGTAAAATAAAGCGGTAAAGTTTTGGCAGCGCCATTTAGCTACAGTCCATTATTAGAAAACTTTAAAGATAAACGCTTGTACACAACCATAAATAGGATCCTTTTTACTTTTGAAATTGCTGTTGACATGTCTGTTTTTGTTTAAAAATGTTTGTTTGAATGATACAAATATTTCCCTGTAGTCCGCTCGTAACTTGCTACAGCTTGGCTGGACTACCCCAGATTTTTTTTTCTTTATAATATTAGGTATCCTTGTATCCGAGACCTATAATTGTTTACAGTGAATTGTAATTCATTTATCTAAAACTCCAATATCTTAAGTTTTGTGCATGGCATCAATAAACAAATATAGATCCATGTACGTATTATTAAAAGGCAACTATAGTCATAATACTGTGAATAATATGTATTATGAAAATGGATCATATCTGATGAAGTGATGACAAATAATAGAAGAAAAACATAAATTAAAGTGACTTGAGATAAGGGCCATCTGGCTAGAAGATACGATAGATGAACAAATTAAATGGGTACATAGGCAATTCAAAGTTTAGGTAAGTTACACACAAATAATCGCTTGATTTTATGATCAATTAAGTATCTAACTAAATAAAAAACTGCGTGCAAAGTAGATCTATAAAGTGTTACATCCGCAAATTAAAGTAATATAAAATAGTAAGACAGTACATATAAAAGGTGGAATGTGGCTGATAATACAACTGAATACGTTTTCTGGCAATGTGGAAGTTACTACTTTTATTAGCCGTTTTGGCTAATATATTTTCATTAGTGTCCTCGGGTACGCCAATTGGATTTTTTCTTTACTTCTTTTAACCAAGTTGTGATTGGAAAATAATGCACGTTAGTGCATTTGGTGTGTGTATGTGTGTTTTTGTGTGTGATGTGTGGTTGTGTGTGTATGTGTATTTTAGAAGACTTGTGTCTTATAATTTAGAATTTTATTCATAGATGTATTAGACACTGTTGTTTTACAAAATGTGTTACAATGAACTCTTTTTTAACGAATACCGTTTTAATTTATATTAGTTTAACTACCAAACTAATAATTAATATGGGATTCGTTATGCTACAATAACGATGAATAAAACAGCTGTTTATACGAAAGAGAACCAGCAAGTTAATTCGGTATCTTTCTTATGCCTTAACTTTTATGTTCAGTGAAAAGCTTACCGTTTATGTTACAGATATAACAAAAAGTTTGTTTTATTTATATTCATGAAGGGTTTTACCACCGCATTCCTACTCCTGCTCTTCGAGCCGGAACCTCGGCAACCCGTTAGGCCTTCCGCGGCTCCGAATCGGGCATCAGCCCTATTAGGCCCCATATGTGGCGGTCTGATGACTCTTTGAGGCGCGTGATACGCACGGGTCTGGTGCTGGTCGGACGGTGAGCTACCCTTGCTCGCCGCCCGCAGACCCGCACTTACGGTGGCCGGAGATCGTCGCGCGATCTCCGACGCCCGGAGTGTCTCCCGCAACGGCTGGGGCGTGAAGAGATTCATTCACTCACGCGCCCCGGCTCCTCTTTGGCTAGCACAACTGATTCGCAGAATGAGGAGACGGCATCCCAATCCCCCTCGCTCCGTACTTTGGCTATATTTATGGAAGGTCTTTGCCCTGCAGTGTAATAACCATGACCACAAAAATTTTTCTTGGCTTAACAGCCACAGTATACCTAATATCATGAACATGATAAAGCCAAAGTCAAAGTCAAAGCGTTTATTGCGTAATTTTCATATCATAATATTATGTAATATCATTGCAGCAAAAGAATCTGAGACAACGATAATCACCAGTAATGTCGCTGCAGCAGCTGCAAGTGGAGTGGTAGTGGAAAATGGAGGTAAGAGTAATAAATTATTCTAGATTTTTTATGGAATTGGAGGCAAACGAGCAGTCAGATCACCTGATGGTAAGCGATCAGCGCCGCCCATAGACACCCGCAACACCAAAGGAGTCACAGATACGTTGCCGGCCTTTTAAAAAGGAATACGCTCTTTTCTTGAAGGTTTGAAGGTCGTATCGGTTCGGAAATACCGATAATGTTTGAACATGTTAAAATTATAGTTCAACACGAAGACATGAATTTTAATACTCAATAACACTTCATCATCACTATCAGAAGTGTGTATTTAGATTCTAACAGATATCTTAAAGTTCCATAAGCTAAATGGTACCTTAATATTGTCTAGTCATTAACATTTGCAAGCAAGTGCATGTAATTCACATTCGTCGCAGTTCATTACAGCAGGTCGATTTTAATAAAAGCGCGCTTAAAAGTTTTAAAACAGAAATTAAGTTGCCTTTTATTTTTTTTACAATTTTATTGTTATTTTATTTTATTTTATTTTAGGGTGTACTACCCTAATGTGGTCATTGAAAGAAAACCTAGAAGTCATTTAGACTTTACGACTTTACGTGTGACGTGTCATAGTTTAAAATATACTTGCTTATTTTTAATGCATCCGCTGTAAAAGTCTTGTCACTGTTTTATTGTATTTGCTTAGAAAACTGTAAAACTATTTTGGAAACATTAAATAGTAATTACTTTACGAACAATAAATTCTTAAGATCGATAGCGAAAACCTTTAAAATATTGTTGTGAATTCTAGTTAAAAATGTAGTTGTCATCAGTTATTTAATAATTGAGGGAATGAATAATATAACATGACACATCAATGGTAGATTGCTAAGCATAAGTAAGCATTGCATTAGCTACCAAAATTAACAGTTACATTATGGTAATTTGACATTGAATCTACTAAACTTTTAAGCCAATTATACTTTGTTTGTGTAACACACTTAGTCTTGGTACCACATTTTCTTTTCTGCCACAGACCCACAGAGAGAAATGCCAGTTGGAATATGTGGAACCTATGTACGTCCTTTTTATACATATGTGTTACCCTTTGGGTTGTATATGTGTACATGAATAATAAATAAATAAACATGTATTTTTTGTAGAAAATGGTTCGGTGGCAGCTGGAGCTGCAGCAGCCGCAGCAGCCAGCAGTACGACCATAATCAAAACTGAACATCACGTCAGTAAGTATAATAATATCCTCTGTAATATTGTCTGCTGTATGGTGTACATGAAACGACAAATAAATTAATATATTTCCCGCAGTAACAGGAATTCAAACTATAGTCATCATTACCGGTGTAGTACCTAATAAGAATGTTATTAAAATACATTATTTAGTGTGCTTCTACTTTTTAAATGTTCATAAATTCATTAGTAACATTATATATGGTTGTCCAATTTTCCATGATAAATTATTTTGACACGTTTAATTAATGTTACGTAAAACTAATCACGTGTTGATTAAAATCACGTTCAATAAAATCGCGTGAATAAATGACATTGACACTTCGATATTTGTTCAAGTGATTTTTCAAGTATGATGATATAGAGGTAGTAGCATTGTTTAGCAATATGATGGTATTTGGCAGATATTTGTCTATTAATCAAAGCGTATTAAACAACACTTTGTGTGATCCACAAATTGTTGTTCCGGGTCTGGGTGTCATGTGTATGTGAACTTGTATGTTTGTAAACGCACCCACGACACAGGAGAAAATCCTAGTGTGGGGCAACGTTTTTTTTTTTTTAAAAAAAAGCGTAGCATATTTTTCATAGCAAAGTTTTCCCTGAAGGGAAAATCAGATGTACCATTTTACAGTATTTACGCTATAAATAGTGTATTAGCTTCTGCCAGCAGCTTCTCACATGTTCCATATTTCCGTGCCATAAAAAGTGGTATATGTGTTATTTCAAACCATAGTCTACCTCTGTTCAAAATGTCATCTCGATCCATTCAGCTGTTTTGACGCGAAAGAGTAACAGAAGTACATAAAAACTTTCGCATTTATAATCAGTAGTCTATCAGTAGGATAAGACGGTATTAATTATGCTAGAAATGGATAAAATAATTCATATTTTACTCCTAACCTATCCAGGAAAGTGTGCAGTCAACGAAAGATACTCGAAATGTCCAGAAAAACTTTGCCAGCCACAAGTATGTGAAGAGGTTGGAATCCCACAGTGTTCGATTCACGATGAAAGGTACTTCGACAAGACGGGACCCTGCCCTGGACCTCCTGCATGCATCTGTGTAGAAGGATTTGTAAGAAATGATGAGGGAGTCTGCATGCCAGCTAAGGAATGTCGTAAGTATATTCTAGACGTTTTCTCTACATGAAATAGATACTTGAACAAACTATCACTACTTACTTACCCTTACTCTTGTAATCTATACTCCCCTTCAATTCTTTTTACCACGTTTTACAGTAGTGAAATTACAAATAACCTGTGTTATGTAGTTTTTCAATGGCGCCTGATGTGTCGTTTAATAATGCTAATAATGCACTTGAAACACACTTCAAATAAACTGTCTTCAAGGTGTCGATGATCGCTACTTATCAGCAGCTGTAGCCAAATACTATTTAGCGCCTGTCTACATGTAGAATGCAAAACCAAATTATATGGAATTGACGTAAATTTTGACACTGTCATCCTCATACATTTTTTCTACTTTCTCTGTAGACAAGCACTAAAGTGGCGTTTGACTAAAGGCACAGGTCCTTCTTTTCGCTTGCCTTCGATTCCATAAAAGAGGAAATCTAATAGACTAGTTACTTATAAACTGCATATTTTATCAACTACATTTCCATAAAGAACAGTTTCAGTTATAATTCTTCTCTCAATTTGCAGCGTCTTGTGGCAATGACAAGAACGCCACATCTGGCTGTGGCGTGAACTGCGGTCGGCGCTGTTCCAACTACATGCTCTCTAATGTAACATGTGCCGATATATGCTACTCCAACAATTGTGATTGCAAAGAAGATTACGTGTTCGATGACTACCTTGGATTTTGTGTCCTGCCGCAGGATTGCAGTAAGTACAAGTCTTTAAATCAAATAAAGCAGCTGACAATTACCTATAGTACATTTTAAATAGAAATAGATTAGACTATTTGATATCGGCTATTTCAAGTAGGTACTAGTTCGAAAATCATAAAAGCGTTATAAATATTTATTCAGATTCACACCAAAAATCTAAACTTTATGACACAAATAAAGATGACATTTATTTACTTCTGAGGATTTTAGTAACACAAAGTTGATTATACTGTGACCACTTTTCTCTCTTCACTAAACACACACTAACGAAAAAAATCTCATGTTTGATTACTAAAACTGATCGTAAATCATTTCAAACTATTATATACAGTTGACAAATGATGCTTAGATATGCTAAAATATTACAATGCAAGAATATTTAAGCGGGATTACTGTAGTATATTGTGCACTTACGTAAATTGCACATTACACATTAGTGTGTACTGAAAGGGTTATAAATAAACCATGTTCACACATTGAAACCAACAATAAATTTACAGTTATAACTTAGACAACGTAAATTTAGAAGAAGAAGGGTCAAGAATTGTTGTCAATTGTAACACGCTTTAATTAATTAAATATTTCAATCATTTTCATTTAAAATAAAATATTTTAATACACTATTTCAAATTCAAATATGCATTGAAGTTATTCCAGCAGCATTTGCAGTGTTTTATATTACTTATTAATAAAAAATATAGTGTTTCTTTGAAATTAAATATTAAATTTAGTTTCAAAGAAACACTATAATTTTCTTAGTTGCAAAATACAAAAAATACAGCTGAAGCTACGAATAAAATGGCGTGCCACGGTATGAAACTTAATTTGAGCAAATATAATTTCTATGAGCCACTGCATAGTTTGTTAGCTAATTATAAAGTTTTAGAACTCGAGTAAAACTTCTGAACATTACGGCGCATTAAGCGATTTACCTGAAATAGTACCTTTTCTTGTTTGGAAGCATAATTTAGAATGTTTTCCGAGTGTGAGATGAGTAGTTAAAGCCGAGGCTGGAGAAGTTTCAACTCCAAAGGATCTATGAAATAATTGTTGAGTTACTCTTCATTGTGTTTAGTTTGGAAATTGCAGTAGGGTAACATTTCTGTTTTCTATTAATATCTATTTTAGGTTTAGACTTCTTTTACATTTTTATACATATATCGATCGTAACCTCTGAGCAATCACGAATACTTACTTCAATCAAACTCAGCTACAAGAACTATAAAACAAAAAACTACAGCCAAGTTTTAATCAAAACCAACTCTAACGTATTTCTCAAACCAAAGTTCTTTTAAATTCAGGCTTGTTTATTCAAATATCTAGGGTCCAACATACTAGGGTAACAAAACTTTCAAGGTAGCTGATTCGACCGTGTAAAATACACTACGTTGATACAAAACGACGGTCAACTAAGATATTTCTTTCTTAATTCTCCTGAATTATTTACCTGAACCTCTTTCTGGTTTGTGGATACACAAAGCTAGTTTTTTTATTGCTGCCTCTCGGTCATAAAACTCGTCACGGTTTATTTACAGTTATTTATTTCACTTGGTTTCACTTGGAGTCTGGACATTCATTTAAATTTTTCATTTTTGTTTAGCAACTAGTCATCGCTCAGTTTTTCATTCTGCTGAGTAAAAATTAAACCTTAAAAAGCATGTAAAGGTCAACCATAAAACTACATTAATTGATATATCTTTAAAGAAATTGTTTCTTTTGTAATTCCATAAAAAATATTATTGTATGGATTACGCTGAAAAATCGACCTCTTCAATTTTGTACTCAAAGGAAATATATCTGTATATGCAGTTAGATTAATATCATTGCATAGTAACCTAATAAAAGAAAGCAAACCCAAAACCAATTCACTAAGTCGTATAAATACAACAAAGTATTTTCTCACCTGTTTTGTAAAGCATTGTTGTATAAAAAAGCTTAATTTACAAACTCACTACCAGAACGGCAAGTTAGTCAGTAGCTATCCGTACTCCAACAAGTTTAACCGAGTAGAATGTAATTTTTCCCCGGTTGGTACCGCGTTCACTTTACACACAACCGACAATTGGGATCTATATTGCTCGATAAAAAACTTTATTGTTCGACGCAGTTGGCATGTGGGCAGTGCGGAATAGGTAAACGTATGAGGACTTGAATTGGTAAAAGGTTTTTAAAATAAAATTCATTTGACCAACACATTTTTGTATCACAAAAAAGCTTTACGTGTACCGTTCAATTAATTCGTCTTTCAATTTGGTTTTTAGATTACAAAAAAAAACAATAAATAAATCTGTTATCAGTGAAGCACGAGATTATAAAAGATTTGATTGGAACTTAAACGAACATGGGATTGTTTTTGTCATAAAAATAATGTCCACGCTTACAAAAAACAATATTCTGAAACTAATACACAATTAAAGCAATTGCCATTTCGCAACCCTATTCTATTAACATGCCATTGATCAACAGGTCACAAGTGCAATTACTAAATCTGAGTTCTGTATTAAATACAAATAATCTGAGTGTATGGCTAATAAATGTGTCTATGCCCAAACGATCGACGTATAATTAACTTTATCGGAATCACACCTATATACAAGGCTTTGATTAATTGTATGAATTTCTATAATTTAGGTAACAAGAACGCGCCTGAACCTGAAGGCACTGATGGGACTCCAGGAAACGAAGATGGAAATGAAAGTACAGACCCTTGTGACGATTGCAGTGAAAACAACTGTGATAATACAAATGAAAACACCGACGATATAGAAGAAATAGATTGCAATGGAATGGATGGAGGTATATTTAATAAAATATAAAAACAACAATATCTTTGCGACGTAAAATATACTTTGCAATTATTTGTGTAATGTTTTCACGTTTCAGAAACGACCACAAAATCTGAAATGAATTCGTCATCTACCACAGAATCTAATGAAGGGTCAGATTCAACTACTGAGGCATCAGGTATGACAACTGAAGGATCTGCAATGAGATCAACAACCCGCAGACCTAGAACTACGACCAAGCGCCGATCACGCACTACAACCGAATCTGATGGAGGATCCGATATGACAACTAAAGGATCTGGAATAAGTTCTACTACACGAAACAATAAAATAAGTATACAGGTAGAACAATTTACCACAGAATCTGGTGCAGAGTCAAATTCAACTACAGAAAGATCAATTATGACAACTGATAATTCTGGAAATGGACCAACAACAGGAGAAACTGAGTCAAATATGACAACAGAAGATTCTGGAAATGGACCAACAACAGGAGAAACTGAGACGGATATGACAACAGAAGATTCTGGAAATGGACCAACAACAGGACAAACTGAGACAGATATGACAACAGAACAATCAGAGAACGGATCAAATACAGAAGATTCTGAAAACGGAACAACAACAGAGGATTTTGAAAACGGAACAACAACCGAAGAAATGGATACTGGTATGACAACAGAAAAATCAGAAGCGGGATCTACAACAGAAGAAGCTGAGGGAGATATGACAACGAAAGATTCTGAGAGTGAGTCAACAATAGAAGAAATGGAGACAAGCATGACAACTGAAGACTCCGGAAATGAAGGAACAACGGAACAGTCTCCTAGTAGTCAAAGAACAACTACTAATGCGCCTATATCAACAACAAGGAGAACTCGTAAACCGAGAACGACTATAAGAAGAACGCGAACTACGACAAAACGTAGGACAACCAGTTCGGCACCTGAGACAACTATGAAATCAACTACACGTCGACCTAGAAGAACTACAACAAAATCAGCCAGTGAAACGACAACAGAAGCATCAACTACAAAGGGTAAGAATTTTTAAAAGTATGATTTTCGAAATGAAATACCAAACATATTGTACATTTTACAATTCAGTCCCTTTTGAGTATCAATTATTTATTCGGATGTCTATAAGCTAAAAATATTCATAACTCTATTTTGTAAAACTTATCTCAACCCATTACTTATTTGATCTTCACCTCGACAAGACTAGAAGAAATGTGTTATGAAATAAAAAAACGTTTATACAAAGCAAGTTTAAAATAAATAACATATTTTTAGTAAGTCCAAGCCCTGCAGCTACAAGGATTAACTATTACTTGTCTACCTTCTATAATCCCTTAAACTGCTTGTCCAGAGTCTTAGTAGAATCGATGCTGTGCCAATCTAGTAGAGGTTGGAACATATCCAACTTTATGTAAGACAACCGCACTACATGCTTGAAAATAAGCAACAAAACGTTTGATTTAATAGTGTCTTCACAGAAAACGGATTGCATTCGAAGAAACATTCTTCAAGTGAACTGAACAGAATTGTTGTGAAGGTATTTTGTGATTGTTCGTTAGTTAACCCATATAGACCTACTGTACCACATGTGGTACAGTAAGTTTATAAAAATATTTTGGCCTACCCACAAATTAATATTTTATTCTTTTAATTGTAACAATTAGTTCAGAGTGTTAGCTTTCCATTTACAATAATACAACAGTATTTTTATGCAAATTTCGTTGAAAATTTTATCGAAGACACCCAGCTAGGACTACAGGAAATATATACAATGACTTCGAAAAGGTAAGTTCCATATTATTTATTGTAAATAATATTATTTTTCGTTACTATTTTGCAGAGTAGGTCTAAAGAAATATTATACATGTAAACAATTTTCGGTAAGGTTAGTTTAGTAAGATATATTTGGTCGTAAAGAAGGTGTACCGCATATGGTACAGTAGGTTTATGTAACATCAACATCTTCTTGTACCTACTATCTAGTATACTAATAGATAACTATATCTAAACCTGATTTTATTTTATTTTTATTTCAGACCACTGACACTGCACGAAATTGCAATAGTTCTTGAAGAAGATGATGATATGAGTAATCAGGGAAGAGATATTTTTTTACTACCAGCACTATACTGACAGTATCCCTGCCCATGAGGATCGAACTGATGAAGACTCGTGTGGAAGATAACATCGATATAAATAATTTGCCTGTTGAGACACATAGAAGAAAAAAAAGGAAAGAGGCTTCTACGATTATCGCGTCTCTGATGATGTAATAATTTGTAGGTGGTACGATAATAGCATGGTTTCAGTGTGTTCCAATGCAGTTGGCATAAATCCTGTACACAAAACTGAATGCTATTCGCAGGAACAAAAAAATAAAATATCTGTACCTTATCCCGGAATGTTTTAATATGTATCACACAAAAAAATAAATAAATTAGCTAATTGGAAAATCTTGTATATTTGTATGCATATAGTCCTACTGTACCCGATATGGTACACCCCCCCTACGTCTCCCCAGTAATTGTATATTTTTTTTAATATTTTTTTATTGTTGTTTGTACCCCTCTTAATGAATATAAGTTAAAATAACTAAAATTTTTCATGAAAATAATTATCGGTCTAAATGGGTTAATTGGAACTTCCTAGGAAGTATGTCCTATTGTCTTTCAAGAGTAGCAAAACTTGTTCGGTGCCAACAGAATGCAAGCAAGGAACAGTATGTGTAGACGTAATAAATGTACTTAACCACCAGAGTAGGCAAATATATTATAAATTTTTCACTGAATTTCTGATGTACTTGTGAAACTTTCATTTAGTCGCTTTCAATCAAAACTCGGTTGGGTTCATATTTGCTAAAAAGTATTAACTTATTGAGATGTAATAGTGATCAACCATTTGGTTTTAGATTTTTCGTAAATATAAAATTTTTGTTCCTCAGGACCAAAAGATTGCAAAGGTCGCAACGAATGGTACTTCGATTGCGCACCGTCATGCCCTCAAAGGACTTGTGAAGATTACTTGAATGGTGTTAGATGTCAAGCATCCGACAGGACTACGGGATGCAAACCTGAATGTCGCTGCATGATCGGTTATTACAAGGATGCAGAAGGAAACTGCGTGAGCACATTGCAATGTAAGTAACATTTTCGAAAACAATGTTGTATTTAAATTATGCATCATGGAAAAACAAAATGAAAATTTCTTGGTGTCCTTTCATAGGTAGGCAATCTTCTTCCAATACGGGTATGACGTCCACAACAACGACGTCCACGACAACGACTTCCACGACAGCAGAACCTACATGCGAGGAAGAAGCCATTCCATTATTCGCCGTAGGAAGCCTTCGGTACACCCTGAGAATATTATATGTCAGTACATACATATCTTTAATCATTTTCTTCCATTGGCCATATTTTGCAACAAAGGATTCCAGTTACATTAAACCTGCTAGTAAACTAAAAGAAAATAAACTTCCTTGTGCTTTCTTTACAATTACCATTCTTTATTTCTTTATTTTGTCAGGAAATATCTCTATCAAATCCTGGAAACAGTGTAATGGTGGGAGGAGCATCCGTCTTATACTTGATGGGTGAATTAGCTTTGTATGCTAAAGGAAGGGCAAAGACAGAACTCTTAAATGTATTCAACCTTCAAGAAACAGAACAGGTAAGTGATTTTATGGCATTGATATGAAAAAGAAGATATTTTTGTTTTGGACTATGTCTTGCTGTATGCATGTGGTAATTCGATTTTGATAAACATAGTTTCATTTCACTATAATTTACACTTTTCTCTTTATTCTGAACCATGTCTGTCATAATTATTCGTATCTGACACATGATTATCTTTCATTAAAATATCGGACCATTTTATAGTTTTAGTCTATAAACGCAATTTTTCAAAAGCAGAGTCGTTTTCTCGCTTCCTCAGATGTGTCGTTGCGGTGGGCAAGCCAACTTAGGCTATCTCTTAATGGCTTTAAACAAAGAGTTTATAGTTCTTGAACAGGTTAGCAGATGTAACCATTAAATTTGTTTCATTCCAAATTTTACTAATATTTGAAATGCGTAAGCATGAGAGTGAGTTTGTATGTATGTTTGTTATTATTACCTATTATGTTACTCAACACGTCAAAATATCTAAGGGGATCTGGATGAAATTTAGAACAAGAGTATACCCCTGTTTCAAATTTTGTATTCTAAACCATAATACACATATTAATAAGCTACTTTTTGTCTTGAATAGCTTTTTATTGAATAAAATGGTACCTAGTCAATATCTAATTGCCAGTTTCTTGGAACGCTTATCAATTATATCTGTTAATAACAGGGTATAATTAGTTGATCATATACTTGACATGAGATTTGACAGTTAACTAATTGATATGCATTCTGCATTGATCATAGTTTGAGAAGTCGAGCGTTCAGCTATTAATAAGGGGTCTCGGAATTAAATATTATTATCTTCTTAGTTATTGCTGACTGCATGCAGTTGATACATTGGCTGAGCAACTAAGTGTTGTGTAATGTATCGCAACCTCGCTGGTTCGATTCCCGCATGGAACAATATTCTTCCTATGGTCCACGAATTGTAGTTTAGGGTATGAGTGGGTATGTTGTAAATGTAAAATATTTGTATTAGAACTCATTAAAAAAATTGCTGATGTTGTTTGGTACATTTTTTGCAGATATCATGTGCATTCCCAAGAATATCAGCTGCTCTTACCGCGCAGTATCCTGACATCGAATTTAGCCTGTTCTGCAAAATCTATGCTGATGACGATTGTCCAATGACAGACGATTTTATACAGAATACAGAGAAAATATTCGCTATGGCGCCACAAAACCTCAATTTCTCAGCTTCAGATGCTGCAAAGACAATTAGTGATGAAGTAAGTTTGTTCTTATTTTCTTTCTCTTACAATATTTTTACCAGTGTTTAGAGCGTGTAAATTTAAGGTTCGATTTCAAAGACAAAAATAAATTACATACACTATACATATCTAGACGTTACTACAATAACATTTTTCTATCCAGGTGGAAAACATGACCAACGGAAACTTTGAAAATTACTTGAAAACAAGAACGATATCGACATTGGATCATCTGGTTATGATAGATGCAGAAGGTTTCCAGGTTTGTACAATATTTTTCCATTTGAAAAAGTAATGCACTCTTTTTAATCTTGTTTTGTATTTGACATATAGAATCACGCAGATTTAATTAACAGACAGTAACCTTCGATCAACAATAGCAACTAGATAAAGGGTTACGTACAAAATCAAGCTCCAGTTCTGTCCGTGTGAATAATAATAGTAAAAATATAACAAACGGAGGAAAATGTTTTAAAATAGTTTTAAGTTCAACCTAATAACAACCATGGCACCTAATAATAAAGTCATAAATCGTCAAAATATTGTCTAATTCTTACGACCATTCGTCATATAAGACGAGAAAAGCATTTTCTTACTCCTGTCATGTAGAAATTAAAAGACATAAGTTACACAATATCTAGTATGAATTCAACCTTAAGATACAACAAATAAAGAAAATTTTTCTGTTATTGCCTTGCGATCTATATCGTTTTGTTTTGTTACGTTTTGCTTTTTCGAATTTCGAATTTCGCTACAGGAGGTATGTATGGAGTCGCGTTGAACACTTAAATAATTTTATAATATGAAAATTAAGATTTCGGGATCTTAGTATACATCAATTATTTTTATTAGCGGTACGTTTTTGTGTATGATATTATGTTTATATACTTTATTATTAAAAGTTTAAGTCTGAGTCAAAATCATTTATTTCAGTTAGACCAGGAAGGCACTTTTGAACGTCAATAATATAAATTTAAAAGTAAACTATTTGCTCATTCCAAGGTGTAGATTCCTATGGAGAAGAACGAGCAAAAAACTCCATAGGTTAGGTACTCTTTTCCAATCAGGTTACAATACAATTTTATTTTACAATACAAATCGACTCCATGCATCCACTGTTCCGGTTAAACAAAAGTTTGTGCACGTGTTGGCGATGCTTGGCCAAGGGATCGCCAACATACGCACAAACATTGGTGGCGTTGGTTTATAATTGGTAATTTTGTATAATTTAATATTATTTACTAGTTTAAAAGCTTAAAATACAACTTATACTTTATGTAGATATCGTAAGTAAGACACTCCGGCCGTTATACTGCTTTTTCGGTTATTATTTTTGCAACTTGCAATTACGCACGCAGCATCGTGAGACGTGAGTACGTTGGCCATGTTTGGAGCATACTAAACAAAATAAGAGCTCACTTCTCAAGTGAGCTCTTATTTGTCGAGACGATTTTCTTGCGCCGACCCGATATCTAGTTGCTATTGTTGATCGAAGACAGTAACACATACAAAATTACTAACAACGAAAAAGCTACATGTGACAAAAACATATTTAGGTACCTACTCTTACTCTTAACTCATTTTCAGGGAAAATGGGAGAAACAATTCAATCCAGCAGATACAACATTGAAAGACTTCTTCTGGAGTGGAAGAATTAGTAAGGTGCAATCTATGTATCAAAAAGATACGTTCCTGTATGGAGAGAGCTCCGTACTTGGTGCTAAGGTAATTCACCAATTAGATAATTACAAATTATTGTCTAAAATGAAGTTTATGTGTGCATGTGTAGCAATTCATTTCTGTGTAATTTATTTTGTAAAAATGTTCAAAAATGTATGAACAGCAACAACTTTTCGTATTTCTGTTTTTCTCCTCTTTTACTATCTCTTTCTCTCTCTCTCTTTCTCTTTTTGTTTTCTCTACTCTCCCTACTCTCATGAAAATATTTTATTTTTTCTAGATACTGAAAATGGATTACGTAGGAGGAATGTTTGGTCTTGTGATATTCCTACCAAACAGTTTAATTGGTTTGAATGACTTGCTAAGGAAACTTCAACAGAACACAAATGTCGTGTATTCAGCTGTTGGCAGCCTTACAATGCAAATGGTTGAAATAGACTTACCTAAATTCGAAATATCTGTAGCAAATAGATTGAAGATACCTTCCGAAAAGGTAAGAAAACAAAATTTTGTACAAACTTTATAATATTATTGGCAATATAGCGTACATAGGGATAATTATGTATCACTTATTGTGCAATAATTCTATATACAGGCGGGAGTAACAAGGATATTCAGTAATACATCCCTCGGACTGGAAAACGTTGCATCTTGTGAAATGCCATACGTTAGCGAGATCCTTCAGAAGATTACCTTCCACGTTGATGAATATGGTATGGGAGAGACCAGAGATGTTGGTATGTATCACTCGAATACTATTTAATAATTTACTATTATAAGAGTTGAAAAGAAGAGAAGATCCTCAAACCGACCCCTGACTCGATTAAAAATGTATCGATGTCATTAGTGACTCGAAACTTAGATCTTGTGCTTGTATATTACTGCCATAATAAGTTTATGTAAATTAATAAATAGCCATCGGCAATTTTGCTTCAAGTCATTATTTCTATAGAAAAATGTATATGTAAAGAGATTATTACATTTTCTTGACGCATTTTAATTACAATGTAGCTTATATACAATATCAAATGCGTCATTACCTGCGTGCATAATAACATTGAGTATTTAAATTGCACATGCATTATTTACAGTTAGAAACAGAAAGCACTACAATTTTCAATTTTTTTAAGACCAATTACATAGCGATTTTAATCCTTTTTTTTTCATATTAATTATTATGTTTTCGGCATACTCACGTAACTAGTTTGAAGCTGTGATAGAGGCTCATATTCATGAGCAGCATTTCTATACACGCGACGCGGCAACAGTCGTACTACTATTCATCTAGCATGGCTTGAAACTAGTTGAACTCCTCGTCAAACAGTTAAGTGAGTAAACCGAATACATAACATAACATAACATCACGCCTATTATCCTCAGAGCGGTTACGGCACATTACGGCACTTAAATGTCACTGTACAATGTAACACCCACTTTTCACTATTTATGTTACGAGTCGCATGTAATAGGGGGTGAGTCTATTGCCATATACCGGGCACAATTCCATACTTCGTGCTACTAATCATATTTCTTAAAAAAACCCAGTAATACTTTACCCGACCCGGGAATCGAACCCGAGACCCCTTGCCCGGCAGTCGCCCTTGCAAACATTCGGCCAACGAGGCAGTCATGCCGAAAGTCGTAAACAAGGTAATAAATTTAGTTTGTCTCAAAAAAAGTATAAACCATCGTTTTTTTTCCATAGAATTTGCTCCAATAGCAACAACGCAAGCGCCTCGAAGACAACAGACGTACAGATTCAAAGCCGATCATCCATTCGTTTACTCCTTATTCCACAAAGAAGTTATGCTGCAAGCAGGAATCTTTGCGGGAAACTAAGGTCATTGAGGTAATCAGTTATCTTGCATTTGTATGTGTTTAATGTCTTAATTTAATCCAAATATTACTGTTTCGGAATATGGAGCTAAAACAAAAATATGTTTAGAGTACGTGTTATCTAATCTAGATGTGTTGGACGGTTTTATAGAGTTAAAAAATGTCGGGTTTGGTTGAATATCTATGGAATATTGCATTGTTGCTAGAAAGTTTGCATGGATTAGTTTTTAGAAAGGAAAACAACAGAATGTAATGTACATAATATGTGTATAAGTAGATATAGAATATCATATAAGTAGACTTAGTGATCAAGGGTCTCGTTAGAAAACGTAAGCGAAGTAAAGTATGATGTGTTTTAGTTAATATATTCCGAATTTATAGAAATATTATTATTATATGTCGTACAATTTTGTATTTTAAGATGAATATGAATAAAGTATACTTTGTTTATTTTAATGTTGTATTTACTTATTTATTCAAAACCTTACGTCACTTCTATGTACATTTTATACTTTGAAATGACGTTTTAACCCCCACTCCTCAACGTTGATTCGTTATATCTAACTAAGTATCATTTTATTATAGAACAAATTAAAAAAACACGTTTCTAATATTTTTTCATGAGGTACCTAACTGACGGACTAATTACATTCTTAATTTTCGTTCCCTATCATCATCCCTATTCTGGCCACGATTTTAATAAAGTCATTAAATAAAGTAAATAAAGGCATTTATTACTTCTCGTATCAATTTATTGCATTTTTTGGAATCTTCCCACGATATATCGTAATCGTGATCCATTAAACGTCGACAGACAGTCGTTCACGAATTCAAATAAATTATCGCAACTTTAGTGTTAATTGGTATATATAATGGCACGTGAGTTTAATTGTTAATTTGCATAAAATATGTAGTTATTTACAAGAATTTGGTTTTTTAAAACAATTAACAAAGGTTTTGTAAGATAAGCACAGTTTTTTAGATACAAAACTGGTTCGATAGTTGGGTTTGTATTCATTGTTTTTGTGTACCAATTACAAGTTTTAGACTTTGGTTGAAACCATGCCCTGAACAAAGTATTTATTTATTTAACTCGTCGAGTACCGTAATTATAGACACAATTATAGAACAATAGGTTGAGGTCACCGGTAACCGCTTGGTGTTTGACAGTTTAATACGCTGCATGCACTTAATGTACCTCTACATACCTACAATAGATAGACTTAATGCCGCATGCATTTTCACCCAGTCTGACCTTAGGTTGATGTATAAATTATTTTTTATTATACCTAGCTAATTACATATTAACATAATGTGTAACATATATTTAAACATCAGTTATATTACCAGTATAATATTATTTGCATTACAAACAACTGGTACTAAACTACGTCAGTCTAAAAAATGCAAAGCAATTTTTTATTCAATCGAACAACAACAATAAAATATGTAGGGACATAATGTATTGATTTATGATGCAAAACTTTTATCACTAAATGTACTCAATCATTTAATGTTTACCTATCATGGAAAATAAACACATGTATAACTTGTATATACGATTAAAAAAAAACATACAAAGGAACAAAATACATTTAGTCAGTGATATGGCGTCTGAAACATTATTGGTTTAAACCTTTTATATTGAAACAAGTGCACGAAGTCGTGTATATATAAAAGAGGTAAATAGCCTTGATAACCTGTGAATACACCATTCTGGTGATAATGTTGAAGCCACTCGTGGTGTGGGCCGTAGTGGCTAATTTGGGCTTGATAACACTTTCCGAAGGTATGCAGTACTTTCATCAAACTTGTAGTTGATAAAATCAAGTTTTGTTATCATTGTAGTGATTTTTATTAACCTTTATAAGGCTCTGACTTCTAACTGAATTTTGTATTCTGTCAAAAAAGCCCAACTTATAAAATAAAGATAAAAATATCCGCACCAACTTCTGATAACAATCTGTTAAATTATTGACATCGTTGTCCACTTTGGCTTCCTATGTACTAATGATATTAATTACAATTAAATTAAGTTAAAAAGTGGTTATGTGCTATGAGATCTGAATTTTACAGGAAATTTCGCTCCTTACCCAGACTCTGCAGTCCGTGGTAACCGTAAGTATATAATCAATTTTAATTTATTTTGCCTTAAATATTAACAATAAACTGATAATTGATTAGAATAGTCAATCATTAATGTACAGAAAGGGGGATATAATAAAAAGAAAATAAAATGTATGCAACCTAAATTCTTCACGTAATTAATTAGCGATAATGTTTTATGATACTGACCTCGTAAATATTGCTATCTGTTTGTATTTTACTATTTTCTATGTAATTGTCTTAGTCAAAATTAATTTCTTCATTGGTGAAACGTTAAACTTGCTTAGTAAATGGATACTTTATAGCAATTACATAAGGATCATTCTCTTTTAATCTAAAAGTATTTAGCACCAAGATTATTCTCAAAATAAATTTTCAGTACATATTTATTAAAACAATTGGTTAATTTAATAACAGCTCACCGAAAATGCCATGGATCTAACGAAGTTTTCAATGAGTGTCCCAACCCATGCCCACCACAGCGTTGTGGGGTCAATAAAGCTGCGATCCGTTGCGCAGCACCGCCAAAACCTGGTTCCAGTGACTGCAAACCTGGTTGTGTATGTGCTAAAGGTCATGTGAGGAATAGAGCTGGTACTTGTATACCTGAGAAAGACTGTGGTAAGTTATCATTACCTATAACTTCTTTTTTTCAGCCATTTTGATCTTAACAGAATAATTGTGATCGTCATATGGTAGTCTTCCACCGTTTGTCCCATTAATTTAGTCTACTCACTCACATACACTATTAAAAAAATTGCATCAATTCGTTGTGTAATTTAAAAAATGTAAGTATATTTAGGCACTGACACTGGAAAAGGACTTTTGTTTTATACTATGTAGTGAATTCAGTTTAACAGTCGAAACTGTGAGTTCTGAGTAGTGAGTACCCATAGGTATTCACATTCATGGTTTTTTGTTTTATTTTTCTATTGGCTAATCCGATTTCGAATCCTCCATGATAGCAACAATGTTAACAACTTCCATCAGTAAGCCATATATATGATTGTCTCTACACATACTATAATAATGGATTGATTCGTGTTACGTAAATTTTGTGTTCGTACCTAATTTATATCCATGTAACTCAGTCTGTCACATTTTATTTTACAGTGTATGACTGTGCTAAAAATGAGACACTGGACGAATGTGTCTCAGACTGCCCACCTCGGTACTGTGGTGTGAACATAGCTGTAGTATTGTGCGCTCCTATAGACGAATGCGATTGCAAGAAGGGTTGCCGATGTAAAGATCGTTACTTACGAAACGGTGATGGAGTCTGTGTCCTCGAAAAAGACTGTCGTAAGTGTTACTTGTTTGTATATTCATCCAAAATTGTCTCCAGTTTATATTTTTAGTATTTCTCTTTCAATTTTGTTTCACTGTTATGGTACTAGTTCCCATAAAAGTTTTCTTGACATAAATCAGTATCGAATAATCCCCGTCTAGTCTTCATTCTTCTCTACCGTAAATGACAGGATATAAAGTTACTAGTACTTGTATCTTAGCATTCCGTAAAATTGTACATCAATATGCCACAAAACGGCGATTATTACCGTAAGTAGACCAACTAGGTATTTTAAAACTATTACTTATTACACAGCTAAATGCGACGGACTTAATGAAGAATACGACGTGTGTCCGAACCCGTGCCCTCCACAAGATTGCGATGTAGACCCAAGCACGATTAGATGCCCTGCACCACCTAAACCTGGTGATAAGCGATGTATACCAGGATGCCGCTGTTTTGAAGGCTATGCTAGAAATGCTTCTGGTATATGTGTACCTAGGAATGAGTGTCGTAAGTAATCTTAATGTACTTAACTATAGAACTTAGAAGATTATTTTTAATGGTAAAACTGTCGTTTATTGATGGTCTAAATAGTATTATGCACTTGATGAACTATAAGCCGCAGTTGACTTAATTTGTAACTATCAATTTTATGGTTTCTACTTAATACTGATATTTAGTGAAGAATTTCAGAACTCAAAGCAATTTGATCTGCTGTAGTAAGTAGCGTCTGTACTTACATAACTTTTGTTCTTTCTTGTTTCATAATAAATTCTTCCTTGCAGCACAATCATGTGGCGAGAATGAGATCTATTATAATGGCACCACAGAGATTTGTAGACCTTTAGACTGTTCCCAAGTAGGGTTCACTGAACCTTGTACAGATTCCATAGAGGCTGGCTGTATATGTGACTATGGATATGTTTGGGATGATGAAGGCAACTGCATACCGATGACGGATTGTCGTAAGTATCAATAAACTTTTTAGAATGTAGCCTAACTATAACTTTTTTTTGATAACGAGGGGAAACCTTCAAAAGGTGTCGAGCTGTCGAGGTTTGGGCAGAAAGACTAGGTGTGGGATTAGTACGTCACTAAAACCACCCCGGTGGCCACCTTCAGCACGTGTAAGGGCACCGGATCCTCTGAAGAGACCTGCTCCAGAGCCCCACGGTGCAACGCCTGTTATAGTACATCCCTAGGGGCCTAACTAAAACCTAGGTTTACTAATAAACGGACTGATGAACAATTCTAGTTTAATGTTTCAAAAGTCACCGTATGTGGATTTATTGTATAGTATTTTTTTTGATTTCGACTGTAGATTTTTAACTAGTGACAATGTGAATAATACCTACTAATTATTGAATTGATCAATATAATATTGTAAGGATCGCAATATTTTTTTCATAGCATCTTGTGGAGGAGATAGTAACGCTATATCAGGTTGTGGTACGAACTGCGGCAAACATTGTTACGATTACTACAACCACACAGTGCCTTGTAAAGAAATATGCTACGAAAATGCTTGCGATTGCCGAAAAGGTTTCTATTACGATCATAAAAAAGGAAAATGTGTTAAACCTGACAAATGCTGTAAGTATTAAGAGTACCTACAATACATATATTTTAGTTACTTATTTAAAATATGATGATGTAACGCAGATTCGACAGTCTGCGTCACAGTCACATGTAACAAACGTTGTGAAGAAACTTGTAACTATTGGAATAAAATACATGTGCACAAGGAAATTAAAAAATGGCGGACATAATATCACTTAAAATTTTTGAATCTCCAAATGTTACCACATTACTGACTTAAGAAAATGACAGAAGTCCTTCGTATCAATGTGTTTATGTTCTGCGTGTAATGCTATAGTAGCCAGGTGCCACAGTCGTTGTTTCAAGAGACTACGTCCGCCTTTTTTCAACCTCCTTACATGTGCATTACTATAATAAGGTACGTATTATGTTATACTTGGCAACAAATATTAATACCATTTTTAACCGACTTCAAAAAAGGAGGAGGTTATTCGGCCGGTATGTTGCTTTTTTATATATGTAAATTAAACATATTTCCATATTTCAGCATCAAAATGCCATAAAAACGAGACACTAGACTCATGTGTATCAAACTGTCCACCTCGTTACTGTGGTGTGGATATAGCTGCAGTGTCATGCGCTGCGATACCAGATTGTGACTGCAGGGAAGGATGCCGATGTAAAGACGAATACTTACGGAATGCTCAGGGATTCTGTGTACATGAGAAAGACTGTCGTAAGTGCCATTTCAAATGTTAATTTAGTTGGTTACATACACTCTTGTCCTTATCCCATGGCACTAGGCAGAAACTAAAAATTCTCTACAATAATGCATTTTGTCATACAGACACACCGGTTAGGGGACTTCATTTGTGTTTATCTCACTAGTTATCAATAAGTTATCATAAAACTCCATAATAATCTGAATTATGCTAATCCAAGTTACATAAGATCTTGGTTACAAAAGTACTTATATCATCACCTTTATGTTTGTGTCAAATATTAATTTACTATGATAAAACTATGAGACATTTTCCGGATTAAAACACATTGATGTGAAGTCAAAGTCAAAGTCAAAGCATTTATTCAATTACACCTTAGTTTGGTACTTTTGAAACGTCAACAAATACAAAATAAATAATAGTCTGTCAGTCAGTCCGTCAGTGAAATTAGATGAAGCTAGGTGCTCATTCCAAAATGTAGATTCGAATGGAGAAGAACGAGCAAGAAACTCCATTCGTTACTCTTTAAAAAAAAAGTATGAGTGAGAGTCAATCACTCTCTCATAGTCCTATAGATGTATCTGCATCAAATTACGAATTCAGTTATGACCACAGCAAATTACTAAAACATGAATTTCTCATACAGCAAAATGTTACGGCAAGAATGAAGTCTACGACGTATGTCCAAACCCGTGTCCCCCACAAGATTGCAGTGTAGACCCAAGAGTGATCAGATGCGCTGCACCACCACAACCTGGTGACGATGCATGTAAGCCAGGCTGCCGATGTATCGATGGCCATGCTAGAGATGAAAACGGTGAATGCATTCCGAGAGAACAATGTCGTAAGTGATTTTGTTTACGTAATAAAGCTAAACTAAAACATTAAATATGTAGGCAAATTTTGAGACCCTCTTTCATGAAGTCGATTAAAAAGAAGCCACCGCTTTCGAGAAATCTCTTGATGGTGTAAATAAATAGATTTGTATAATTATGGTCTAGCAACGCATGGTGTAGAAGGGTACACCTTCTAGACTTTAGCTACGGAGTCCAGTTATGATCAAATAGGCCGTAAGCTTTGTTGCTACTATAGTAGATACTAACATAGTAAAAAAATTAAAATCGTGTACTACGAATAAATCCGTTTAAAGTAAAATGCTATAATTGCCATTAAGAATACAATGCATTATAGTTAACTTTTCTTACAGCTGGATATTGTGGAGAACACGCAATTTATCACGACGGTAGCTCACAGATTTGTCGACCTTTGGATTGTTCTCAAGTAGGCTTCCCTATAAACTGCACAGATGTCGAACCTGGTTGCATATGTGACTATGGCTACGTTAGAAATAGTCTTGGCGAATGTGTACCAATGAGAGATTGTGGTAAGTACCCTTTTGTTACAGTAATTCCTGATAGATTGTCTTACGAGTAAGTCAGTTGGATAATAGTTCAATAATTTAATTATGCTATCTATATCGTAGCTTACATAAAATTATATCGATTTGAAACTGTGAACTAACATTAGACTAGTCATCTACCAAAAAGATAAATAATTACATTATTGAAAACCGACAGTTAAAAATCACTGTTTCCACAAACCACCCTGAAACCATCTCTTAACTAAGAATTACTAAGCGTGAGAAAGCACCTTATTATTTTAATGCTACCTAAGGACTGTGTAAACCAAATTTTCAGTTAAGTATCACTTATTTTGGTTTAGGGGTCGCTTAAACCTTAACGTAGATTTGTAAAATAGGGCATAAAAGATTGGTTATGGATATTTTATAAGAAATCTAAACTGTTAATTTCTTCACAGAATCATGTGGAGGTGATGATAATGCGTGGTCAGGCTGTGGAGTGAACTGTGGCAAACATTGCTCTGATGTATTTAACATCACAAGGCCATGCCCTAAAATATGCTATCCAAACGCCTGCGATTGCAAAGATGGATTTTATTATGATGAAAACCAAAAGTCATGTGTTCCTCGAGAAGAATGCAGTAAGTTTTACAATTAATACTTTATTCCACTACATTAAAAACAATCACTAATTTGGATTGTCATAGTTACAAAGTTACTTTTACAAACTTATTAGGGAGTTTTAAAACAATTTTGATAACGTGATGCCGTTGTTAAATTTTCTTATGTCGAAGATGATAGCGATACGTATCAAAAACAACGTGACTTAAAACCATAGATAAATTCAATAAAAATACATCAATTTGTTAAAGCCACTCATAAACGTAGATACTACATATGCAAATCAGCTACAGCATAACGACTGTTTTATTTCATCAATAGTCATTTACGCATGCCATTCTTATAAAGAACAAAGTTTACAATAGTCGCCACGGTTAATCATTGTTTAATTAAATATAAACAGGTGTTTCTTTAATAAAAAATCTATAGACTCGTGTATGAATCCATGTAAAGTAAATAATATACTTTGCAAATAACATAACAGTTTATTACGCTGTAGAAATTAATTGTTTTACATGTTTACTTGGAGTCAACGTCAGATTTTTATTGTTTCATCAGTATTTTAATATTAGGTATAGTTGTAGTATGTACATGTTTATTATTTTTCTAATAATTATGTAATATTTATTCCAATTTTGAACTTTTGTTAGTTTCTTTAAATACATTTAAGTATTAAACTGCTACTCATTTTACCTCATAAACTTTTAGGTAATGTAATATTTTATGGGCTAGGATCTAAAGGTAAGCAATCGGCGCCACGCATGGACACCTGAAACACTAGACAAGTGACCAATGCGTTAAGGAGTTAAGAATTTGAGGTGAACAAAAATGTTAGTTGACGACAAGAATAAAATTAGATTCAATACAAAACTTCTTAATTTGACAGCGAAACCTTGCGGAAAAGACGAAGTATTTTCAAAATGTACCAACGATGACTGTACTCCGAAGAACTGTTCACAATTAGGCTTCCCGATGCCTTGTCTGAAATCCGATAGAACACGCTGCACTAAGGGATGTATTTGTAAAGAAGGATTTGTCCGCGCAGATAACGGAACTTGTATTCCGAAGAAGGATTGTCGTAAGTATTATTGACTAATGAAATGTTAAAGAAAAATATCTTTTATTAAGTTACGTTTAATGGTCACCTCCTCATTTACAAAAAAGACTACCAAGAACGTGATTTTGAATCTTAATTCTGTCTCCATTTCATATACAATGTTATTGAGTGTGGTACTGTTTACAATTTAACCGCATATAACGCAGACTTCCGTACTGAGCATTACCAACTATGTTCAATTATTTCTAATGTGCATAATGAACTCTTGGTCCATGCCCTTGTCATTTTTTGTACAATACGTCTAATCAATATTTATAAAGTGTTACACACTACACTTAACCATATCTATAATTTTTATTACAAGACTAGCTAACCCGGCAAACGTTGTTTTGCCATATAAATAATTTCGTAGAAGGGTGAAAATTGAGAATTGTAAGTATTTTTGTATGTTGTATCATAAAAAAACAGAAATTAAAAATTTTGTCTACAAAATAAAAAAAAGGGGTGGACTACCCCTAACATTTAGGGGGATGAAAAATAGATGTTGGCCGATTCTCATACCGGATAAGCATAAAAAAATTCATTAAAATCGGTCAAGCCGTTTCGGAGGAGTATGGCAATTGGCAACGAAAACTGTGACACGTCAATTTTATATATTAGATTAAATCAACTATTACCCATTAGCGGATAATTTATGATCAATATTCAAACTGATATGCACATGCATAGCACACTGACGGTTATAGATCCATCAAAAACTTTAATTTACAACGAATAGAAGGATCTATCAGGAGATTGCCAATAAAACCTTATCATTTCTTACAGCTTCATGTGGAGGTGATCGTCATGCCGTATCAGGTTGTGGAGTAAACTGCGGTAGATACTGTTCCAACTACAACGAAACAGATATTGTCTGTCCAGCTGTCTGCAATACTAATGGCTGTGATTGTAAGAAAGGTTACGTGGTTGATGACGACACTGGAAAATGCATACGCCCTTCACATTGTGGTAATTATTTTTTGTCACTTAACTTAATCGTTTAGTGCAGCGACTCGGTGAGTTTAATTCCCAAATACTGAAGGCTACTTACTCACTTGTATGAGTATTAATGTTTGAGTTTCTGGACATTAGCATTCTTAATCTTTGAAAAATTCTTCAAATTAAACTAGAATGCGGCTCTGTACTGTCTCAAACACGACTTCTGAGTAACGGGTTTCTAATTGTAACTCTCCAATCCGACAGTGTAATTATGTACCTATTTGTCGATTAATGTGCCTGTTTGCTTATTTTATTCATTTTATTTTATTTT